GGGGAGGGGGGGGGGGGGGGGGGGGGGGGGGGGGGATGGTGGGCGCCATGGGTGGATGTGCCATATTTTGTAAACATGCGACTATATACGTATTAGGAGGAGACATTTTTATGGGAGTTTGGGTTAGGGATGGTTAGCATTTCGTGGTAAGGGTTTACTAGAGCTTGGCGACATTTTGTTACACGTGTGTACTACTGATGAAGAAAACAACCTTGCGAATAGAAGGTGACTGGTACAAACTATTGTTTCTATTTCGTACCTAAATTGTACCCATCATAACATTGTTTGGTTGCTGTTGCACGCACCCTTTACATTTTGCACACGATGCCCATCATTATCCCAATCAGTGCACGTCCCTCATGCGTTCGAACACGAGCAACAACGACACATCGTTTACAGTTACGAAGACTGCGTACATGCAGCCTAGAAACCCCAAGGAACATCATCCACAAATTCACAGATACTAAAAAAATGTAACGTTCGAGTTCATTCAGAGTCCCATGTTGCCCGTGGCGAAATCGACGAAGGAATGTGAAACTCCAATGCTCACTACAAATTGCTATATCTCAATGGAAAATCGACTCCGCCCAGCAAGCTTGGTTCCCCGGGAAAAAAACAAAACTAAATATTTTATGAAATGCACGCAAGATGAGATGTATCAACCCTAAATACATTGTCATATGGTGTTTAGGGTTGATACCATCTTCGGATGGCTGCCATCCGAGAGGGTCTTAGTTATTTTCCTGCCCGTCGTTTAGTGGACGACGGTCGACGGGGCCGTCGTCCCCTTGTCCTTTGAGAATACAGTCTGATACCAGCCCAGAACTGTTTTTGACTGTAACGAGAATCGTTTGTACCAAGTTGGTGTTGCACCACGCAAGCCTCAGGCCCCAGCGACAGCCACACACAACTAGACCACACTTCTCACATTCAAAGTTCCATTCCAACCCAAACCCACTCGTGTCAGATTCGCTTACACTAATAAATTACAAGCCATAGTTCTTTCCATTGCTGCCCTATCAATTAACTCTGCAGGGTAGTGGCAATAGTGGAGGTGTCAATCAACTAGTTGGCATATCATGGTAAATGTGCGTTGTGGGTATTAAAAACGGTGAAACAAGTTGACTGTTTGGCTGTCCTTTCAGAACGAGGTCACTGCTGACCGTTGACCTTCTTTCGTGGGGTACCTTTAAAAACAGTAACTATCTGGTGTATGTACACTTGTCGCACATTCAGCCGCCCCTTTTTGAAGAGTCCCACACACAGTCTACACTACAGTACGTACATTCAGCAGCGTTTCACTGTTTTCATTCAACCGCTAGCTTGGCGTGGTGGTGGTGGTGGTGGTGGCGGTGGCGGTGGAGGTGGTGGCTGAGTGTGAGGTTTTGTCACTTGCTCCCCCGTGGACGATCAACGAAGGAACATGTACACCCTCATTCTCGATAGACTGGCATATGTTATACTGACCGAAACGCTTAGTGTGACCGCACCGGACCTAAGAAGGTCTTATCACATGCGTTATAGTGACAATTTGACCCAGGGCGTTTAGTAAAGGTTTTTTAAGTTCTGGAACGGTACTGTTGTTTTCAAAGCGGTTGGGATGGTTATTCAACGTTAATGGTTTTTTACGGCCCAAGGCGTGTTTCAAACCCTCGTGCGACTTTGCACGCAACCGAGTTATCTCACCAGCCCGCTACGTCCAAACACTGTAGCCAGTGCTTCCGCCGGTGAGATAGGTGAGAAAGAGGGTGTACAGCGACAGCTGGTTGACAGCTAGGGGCTCCTTTCTCCAAAACTTCACCCTTTTCGGGCAGTCTTCGTCCTCGATCACCCGTGTACACGTGCTAGAATCAAACCCCAGGGTGCATTTTTTCTCGTCACCCTCGTGCATATGTATCGAGCATTAGTGTGCGTATCAGTGTCTGGGTGAGTGGAATGTCACACATCGCAACCAAGCAACAAGTGTACGCCGTTCTTCCACCCCACAAAACACCTGAATATATGTTTCTGTCCTTAGAGTGCCTGGCTGACACTACAGATTAATCGGGTCAAAAGGAGTTAGCGTGTCAAATTGGTTTCCGTGACCCGATTTGAGGGCAAACTGAGACGCGCTGCAGTGTTTGAGACGCTGTGACACGCTGTGACACGCTACAGTGATTAATCGTGTCATTCAGAGAAACACTATGGGATGGGACAGGAACAAGGCTCTTGTTGAGGTGACCGGCACCCTGCCCCAAGAGTTTGCCAGGTGGCCAATCCAAAGAGATTGCTGGAATTTTTGTCCCCGAATCGGAATCGTCACTATCAAATTACAGTATCGCTTAGCGCTCTAACGACAGGGAGAGAGGGGGTGTTGAGGTGAGGAGGTGTTTGGGTTGGGGGAGGGGTTGTTTTGGTTAGGGGGTGATTTTGTTCTGAAGGGGCGACAGGAAACCCATTGGTTACATATGAGCGAGTGATACATTTCAAGAACACCAGGTAGGCGGGCGGCATGTGCGTGAAATATGAAATTGCCACATTCGCCCTTGTCGCCACGGGCAAAATTGTGACTGTAATATGAAATTGGATTGTGAATCGAGTTAAGGGCTTTAATTTCGTAACCAGGTAAACTTTTCAGATGACGGGCAACCGTTGTTGTTTATGAACTGTAGATGTTTTTCTTCCTCAACTTGGTGACTGTACCCCGAAATCGGCACAATGGTCAGTTTAGTCACTCACGGGCAAAATGTTCGCGAGTGACTAAATTTCTAATTGTGAGGAGCAAATGTTTTGTGATAGGCTGAGCATCGACTGTACAGAAAGATAGGGATACATCACCTCATTGGTAGGGACCCCATTAATCACACGTTTTTAGTAGTGCGTTTGTATTGCAGTTTGCATTGTTCTCGCAATTCAACCGCCGAGTTTGAAGTACTTTTGTTCCTGTCAGTTGAGTTTGTGAAATTACTCCGCCTTCGAGCATCTGCTTTGCGAAAATAAGTGGTACTCTGATCTGTTTGAGACCAGTAATTAGAGCGTATTGTGACATAAATAACAAAAAGGCCTGACACTTAACACATGAAGTTCAGCAGGGTTTCGGGTATCAAACCTGAACTGGCAGTGCTGCGAATAATGCTTGCAGGGTGATTCCATACTCTAGTCAAGCCGTGAGAGGTACAAGTTCATAAAATTATGCTCAGCCACAGGATCAATACATCATGCTCAGCCACGCCATGCCCCCCTCCCCTCATGCCCCCTGTACTGTATACATCTTCCCGCTTGTCTCCACCGACCCTCCCCCCTCAGGTTTAACTGGCTCTGCACGGCATCTTGATGCTGCCATCCGATTGCCCCTGGCATTCGCGCGAATTGCGTTGCTGACTGGTTTGTGAAGAGCGACATCCCTCCCCCCCTCTCCCCCCAACCCCCCACACCACCACCACCACCCCCTTCTCTCCCCATCCTCCCAGACACACCCATCTCACTTCTTCACCCCTTCCCCTCCTTCCATTTCCATCAGAGTTTGCCATGCTGGTACACAAAAGTTAGCTGCGTCACAAGAGTTTCAGCACTGTCCCCTGTCCAGTCCGTTGGAAAATCTCGACCATCCGACCATATGTGGATTATGAATCCAGGGACTTCAAACTTGTTTGACTCAAATTGTGACTCCTCGCGCGCTCCATTGAAAACAGCGATCAGTTTGGAAACTTTCGACGATTGGATCAGTTCTCTCTGTGTAAATGTGCCACACTTTGTGGTACGCCGCCATGAAAACCGCTAGTTCAAGTTCCGAGGCACCAGTGGGTGTGAGCATCCAACTTACTAGTAGTTTCCAGAGGCAAGAGCCGCAGCAGCAGCAGCACGAGCCTGATGATGTGATCGTTTTTCCGCCTGGATGGGCCCAACCTATTACTGCCACTACTACTAGGGGTTCGGCTTCAGGATCCAGTTCAGAAATCGCACATGAAGGTGATCATGCTGCTGACGTGGAGTTAACACCAGCGCCGACTCGGATCGTCATGGGCCTGAACCAGATGACGGATTGCCTGGTTCGGAACGAGATGACGCAAGTGCTGCATCATGAGGGGTTCAAATGGAAAAAGACTTCTCACAAGCGCATCGTGGGTCAGCAAATGAAAAGGTAAATCCACCATCGTCCTTCTCAGGTCCTGCATTGGCCACGGTGACTTTTGAGTCGACTCAGAAGTCCAACATCGTCCTTCTCAGGTCCTGCATTGGCCACGGTGACTTTTGAGTCGACTCAAAAGTCCACCATCGTCCTTCTCAGGTCCTGCATTTGCCACGGGCCTCGTAGCATACTGGATTTGTCGTATCAGCAGTACCTAGAACGTCTTGCATTGATACTTTCAGTTAGGTCAGGAGCCGTGAGTCTCCGTGGGACACAACTTGTGTCAGTGGCTCACATTAGTAATGTCCTCAGTGACTGTGTCAGCAGTGCTTGTTTTCACTTCAGGTAGAACTACTAGTACACTTGTAGGGAACTTGCTGACAGAAGGGGCTACTACTGGCAGTAGTAGCAGCAGTACTAGCACTTGTAGCTGACATTTTACTACGTTATACGAGGGACTGCTACTAGTACTAGCAGCGCCGCCTCTCAGTTTGACAAGATGTCCTTCTGCAACGAATGTGGGGCAGATGTTATCGTTCCTTTCTGAGATTTCTAATCGCATGCTGCAACATCATCCCTTGGTGCTTGCAGGCTGTACTTCGTGTGCGCGTCCAAGCAAGCAACGGGCTGCCCGGCAAAGAAGACGGAAGACCGCGTGGCTGGAGAGGCAAGGCGTCGCCGCTCAAACAGCACCTCCGCGCCGAGGCATCAATTCACTGGGAACAACTCAAAGGCCGCATTCAGAGGCGATCCTGCTACAAGAGCGTTGAATTCCATTGCAGGGACTGCAGCTGCTATGGGGCCTGGAGATGCAGTGGGAGCTGCAACTGCTGTAGGAGGAGGGTGGAAAGATGCAGAGGTGACTGACAGTGTGGAGATCCCAAGGACTGAGATGCGTGTTGTAGTGAGGACAGTATACCACGGCTCACATAACCACCCGCTGCCAGCCCCCGATGCTTCTACAACCGGCCTTCTTCGCTCCTCTTTCCCCTGCCCTGCTGCTGAGACCTGCGCTTCCGCTACAACTCTCGCTCCTGTTGCTCCCGGTCCTGCTGCTACAGCATGGACCCCTGTTTCTGCATCGCCTCCTGCTGCAGCATGTGCGACTGCTACAGCCTGTGTGTCTCCATCGCCTCCTGCTGCAGCATGTGCGACTGCTACAGCCTGTGTGTCTGCATCGCCTCCTGCTGCGGCCTGCACATCTGCTACAGCCTGCACCTGTTCTCCTGCTGCTGCCGTTACAGCCTGTGCTCCTGCTCCCGCTGCGCTTCCCCTTCCTGCTGTATCTTTCACTCCTCCTTTGAGCCAGTCATCAGCTGCATCATCATTCGCTCCAGCTACATCACCGTTCCCTCCTGCTACATCATCATTCCCTCCTGCTACATCATCATTCCCTCCTGCTACATCACCATTCCCTGCTGCTACATCCTGTGTTTCTCTCACAACCTGTGCACCTGTTACAACCTGCGCTCCCACTTACTTTTCCCATCCTGCTATAACCAGCACTCCCGTTGGTTCTACAACCTGTATCCCTGCTGCTACTACACTTCCCCTCTTCACTACGACCTTCTTTCCGGATATGATCTGTACTCAGGATGCCACACGTTCGTTGACATGTGGAGCCACCATCCCCTTCCCCGGCCTCAGCATCAAATCAGTCCCTTCATCAGTTTCTCAAACACAGCCTTTTAACGCTCCTCCTTACTTGCCTTTCAAAAAGTTATTTCTGCCGTGTCACCCTTCTGATAATACCACGCCTCCTCCTCCTCGTCCTCCATCCCCTCCGCTGCTGGGTCCTGCATGCTCCCGCATGGCTTGTGAAGCGCGAAACGCTACTCAGCCTTTGTTCAATCAAGTCGACGACTCAATGCACACTCAAACAGATCACGCACGCCCCAAGCTTCGGGATCCAACAGCCTCCACGCACGGGAACCAGCAGACGCATGCTTCTAACTGCGTGGGTTCCCAGGAGCTCTGGCGTCACCAGCAGGAGCAACCGCAGCAGCAGCAATTTCTGCAGTACCACCAGCCGCAGCCCAGAACAGAGCCGTGGCAGCATCAGCCACAGCCACGTCAGCAGCAACACCAGCAGTACCACTATCAACCACAACAGCACCAGCCGTACCACTATCAACCGCAGCAACACGAGCCGTACCACCATCAACAGCAGCAGCAGCAGCAGCAGCAGCAGCAGCAGCAGCAGCAGCAGCAGCAGCAGCAGCAGCAGCAGCAGCAGCAGCAGCAGCAGCAGCAGCAGCAGCAGCAGCAGCAGCAGCAGCAGCAGCAGCAGCAGCATCAACAGCAGCATCAGCAGCAGCAGCAGCAGCAGCAGCAGCAGCAGCAGCAGCAGCAGCAGCAGCAGCAGCAGCAGCAGCAGCAGCAGCAGCAGCAGCAGCAGCAGCAGCAGCAGCAGCAGCAGCAGCAGCAGCAGCAGCAGCAGCATCAACAGCAGCATCAGCAGCAGCAGCAGCAGCAGCAGCAGCAGCAGCAGCAGCAGCAGCAGCAGCAGCAGCAGCAGCAGCAGCAGCAGCAGCAGCAGCAGCAGCAGCAGCATCAACAGCAGCATCAGCAGCAGCATCAAGACCAGCATCAGCATCAGCAACGGCAACAACAACAACAGCCTCAGGCGCCCCAAATGTTCCTCTGCACGGAACATCTTCTTTCCCAGGAGAATACAACAACCACCACTGGTGTAACCACCAGTGGTATAACCACCACTGCCGTAACCACTACTGGCGTAGCGACGTGTGAAGCTCACGCTGCAGGCCCTACTGCCAATCCGCTCCTTTGTGAGAGTCAAACTGCGGTGCTGCAAAGTGCAGACACCATACCTTGCGGCCATGTCACAGCAGCCCCCAGCTATCAGCAAGTCACTGGGAAAAGCGAGCCGGTAGAGTACAGCTGGTCTTGTCAACCTGTCCTCACTACTGAAAGCTCACCAGAAGTCGTACCTGTGTCAACCCCACCGATACTGGCTGCTTCCCGTGTAACCACCACCAACCCTGGGGCTGCCACCTGTAGCTGTAACCCTGGTGCTGGTACGTTGTGTCATTCGGTGGAACAAGCTACGGATGCCATGGCTGCATGTGGCAGAGATCGTTGGGCGACTTGCGATGCCTGGGACGTCAAGCCGAACACAGCATGTGATAGAGATCGTTGGGTGGCTTGCGATGCATGGGACGTCAAGCTGAACACAGCATGTGATAAGCAGAATGCAGCTGATGAACCGCGTTACTCTCTTCTGCTTTCCTCCCAGCACCAGCAGCAGCAGCATCTTCAACTGGAGCAGCGGCAGCAGCAGCAGTCCTACCAGCATCAATACCTTCCACTGGAGCAGCGGCATCAGCAGCAGTTGGAGCCATATCATCATCGGCAGCAGCAGCAGCAGCAGCAGCAGCAGCAGCAGCAGCAGCAGCAGCAGCAGCAGCAGAACCAACAGCAGCAGCAGCAGTTAGAGCCGAATCATCAGCAGCAGCAGCCACAGCCGCCACAGCTACAGCAGCAGCAGCAGCAGCAGCAGCAGCAGCAGCAGCAGCAGCAGCAGCAGCAGCAGCAGCAGCAGCAGCAGCAGCAGCAGCAGCAGCAACAACAACAACAGCATCCAGCTGCTTACACGGCAGATTATGTGTGCAACGCCGGTCCCTACAGAAGAAGCAGCACTCCCATACCCGGCCTTCCCAAGCTAACCGGACTTCCCACAGGCCACACCACTCTGCATGGCGCGCATGCAAGCACAGGGTCCCTGAGAATAGTTCCGGATGGTACAACACATGCACTCCTGAGTGCTAGCACGAGCACAGGCGCACACTCTAGCTTCCAGAATGGGAGTATTCGAACCGATACATGTCAACTTACAAGGGTTGACAGCATGGTCATGACTGTGGGGGACATGAGCTGCTGCTCCATGGACTCATGCATGCATGTGCCGGCTCCAGATGCATGCTTGGATGACCTTTTCCTCATGCCGGATGACTCTGGGGTTGGGAACGGTGGGGTTGGCATTCAAGTGAGTGATGATTCAGAAAGGGTGTTTGGGCTGGCTGCTACACAGAAATGCAGCAGCAATGCTGACCATGGTGTGCTTGACTGCAGTCAGGAGACGTTGTGTGTGGGGCAAAGGGGCTGGGTGAACCACCGTTCTCACTCACATTCATATTCCTAAGCTTCATCACGACTTGTTGTTTTAGTACCAGCTGGCTTTGCTCAAGCCAGTGATCTGTTATGCTAATGGTAGCCTCTGTTAATAAGGCGCCTAGAAAATTAGTAATTCTGCTAATGTGGTATGTCATAAAAAGGAAGTGGGAAGGCTTCTTGGTGCGGGCTTCAGTTCAGGTACCGTACTTAGTATGTATTTATTCAATATATATATCAATACAGAGGTACCGCGTAACCGCGGTACCAGTATATATATCTTCTCAGCTTGGGTTAACCCAGAAAGAAATCCCGTGGTGAGATGCTTTGGTGCAGTGCAGCCCTCGTCATGGTGTGTGTGTGATGGAATGCGTATGGTGCGTTTCAGTACAGCATTCCCATGTGATTGCTCTCAATCAACCAACATGCCCATGTGATTGCTCTCAATCAACCAACATGCCCATGTGATTGCTCTCAATCAACCAACATGCCCATGTCAGCCCGGCCCCATGCTACGCGGAGGCAATCAGAAACACACTTTACTGCCACCGGAGATCCAGAATGTTCCGCAGCAAAGCTGTTATTGACAGCCACAATTCATAGATAACAAAGTTAATGTACAGAAGGAAAAACCATGTGCTACTGTAGCCTTCCGCAATGACCCACTGGCTGGAAATGACAACAAAGCGGCCCGCCAACGCCCTAGGCTGCAACCAACTCGTCAAACTATTCCCCGCTAATTGCGGCCGGAACTACCAACGAGAGATGCAAAAAGAAACCCCATCTTCAACTTATCCTTCAAGCAGACACCCCAACCAACACCGAGTCGACCCAACCAGGCCTCACAAAGGGCAGCAAGCAAGGACACATACCACAGGTTCTGGCACGGTTAACACCACCAACGTGCGCAGAACCTTTGGAGGCGCCTTTGAACCACTCACTCACTCGCTCGCTACTACCTCCGCGTGCAAAGCGACAGCCCCACGTAGAGCCGGTCATTGTTGCACACGTATCCGTTGTTCAGCTCCGCCATCTTCCGCGCACTGTTCTGGAACTTGAGCGATATGATGCGCGCACAGAAGTCCCCCCGCGTCACCGAGTAGAACGCCAGGCACCGCCGCTTCGTCACCGCCAGCTGGCGGCCTCTCATTGGTTGGTCGGCGTGAGACGGGATGAGGGTTGGGAGGCGAGGCATGGAGGCTGGTGATGGGTGGGAGGTGGTGCTAAGGCCGAGCAATCTCCCTCGTGTTGGGAACGAAGAGGATGAGGGAGAGAAGGAGGAGGATGGAGAGGAGAGAGAGGAGGGGAGGAGCGGGGAAGTGGAGGGAAGCTCGCGGACTGAGCGAGGTTTGAGCGGACTGGATGGATCCGCGAGGTAGGCATCCACACACACCTGCGGTAGAGAGGATGGGCGTGGACGGTTTTTCATTTAATAAGTGCATTTAAGGTACGACGGATGGGTGCATTTCAGTGATGGGAAGATGGGGTGATTGCGCTTGGGGAACCCGCGAGGTAGGCATCCACACACACCTGCACGGCACGCAATCGCCACTCCAGCGATCTTCAGACATAATTCTCAGGGAGCAGCAGTAGCGAAGCTAGGCTTGAAGCAAAAAAAAAACACAACTAGTATTGTACTGTGTAAGACTAGGTGAATCCGCGAGGTAGGCATCCACACACACACACACACACCTGCACGCCGTCCCCTCACCTGCACGCCGTCCCCTCACCTGCACGCCGTCGCCACTCCAGCCGAAGGCACCGCCCCCGACGGAGGGGAAGAGGCTGTCGCAGCCCACCCCCGGGTTGAGTGAGAAGAAGGCGGTTTGGTTGAGGGCGTAATCCTTCATGATGCTCTCACACGTATCCCCCGACTGCACCGTGTACCAATTCGTGCACATGGGCAGCTTGGGTAGGTCGCTTCCACCGCTGCCCTTCGCCACACACAGCTGCATTGAGGGGAGGGAGGGGGAAGGAGGGGAAGAAGGCGGTTTGGTTGAGGGCGTAATCCTTCATGATGCTCTCACACGTGTCCCCCGACTGCACTGTGTACCATGCCGTGCACATGGGCAGGTCTGTCTGCCCATTGCCCTCCACCGCACACAGCTGCAGGGAGGACAAGGAGTGTGAGGCATGTGTTTTATAGGCATTCCCTGGCTCAGTGAGTGAGAGCATGATGGGATTGATTGTGAGCACACGCTTTCACCCCGTGCAAACAAAAGGGTCGCTGCGAAAAATCCTTACAATCAACTAAGATACACCCCCCGTGCGTGCGCATGGGCATGCCAGCCAGCCAGCCCACAAGCCGTTCAGCCCACATTTAGCCTCATACCTAATTCAGCGGATTAAGAGACATTCCAGTGAGCAGCAGTTTAAGGGAGAAGGTTTTAGCAAAGGAGAAAACAGTTGTAGTAAAATCCTAGCTGATTCACGTAGGGTTCTGCTGCTGGGCATGGGCATGTGCATGTGCATGTCAGCCAGCCAGCCCACAAGCCGTTCATCCCAACATTTAGCCTCATACCTAATTCAGCGTCAGCCCAGTCACCACACTGTTAAGTACCGCACTGCACCACACTGCACCGCATTTCACCTGCTGGTTCACGCACGGAGCGTTCCAAGCGGTGCTATCTGTGCAATTGATCCCCGGGTTGAGCGCCAGCAGATCGTCCACTGTCAGCCAGAAATTGTCTGCCACACCCCCGAGCACCGTACTGCACTGCACGTTACAGCACGGCAAGCTTGTGATTGGGGTTCTCACCTGTTGGTTCACGCATGGAGCGTTCCAGGCAGTGCTATCTGTGCAGTTGATCCCCGGGTTGATCTCCAGTAGATCATCCACTGTGAGCCAAAACGTGCTCGCCACACCACCGAGCACTGCACTGCAGCGCACTGCACCACATTGCACCGCATCTCACCTGCTGGTTCACGCATGGAGCGTTCCAAACGGTGCTATCTGTGCAATTGATCCCCGGGTTGAGCGCCAGCAGATCGTCCACTGTCAGCCAGAAATTGTCGGCCACGCATTCACACGTGTCCTGGGAAGTCCACGAGTAGTATAGCACACAGTGCACTGCCCCCATGAGGGGCGGCGCCACGCTCACTTGCGTGTTGGCCGGGATGGTGTAGCAGTGCTCCATATTCTGTGTTTGTGGGGTGGAGTGGGGTGCGGTGGGGTGGGGTGGGGTGGGTGGGTGGGTGGGTGAGTGGGAGGTGTGGGATGGGGTGGTTAAGGTGAGGAGAACGCATGTGCACCATCCCCGGTGGGTGCGGTTGGATGGGGTGGACTGGGGTGGACTGGGGTGGACTGGGGTGGGATGGTCTGTGAGTTACACCAGTGACCAGTCCACGAGTAGTAGAGCACACAGTGCACCGCCCCCATGAGGGGCGGCGCCACGCTCACTTGCTTGTTGGCCGGGATGGTATAGCAGTGCTCCATGTTGTGTGTGTTGGGTGGGGTGGAGTGGGGTGCGGTGGGGTGGGGTGGAGTGGGGTGGGGTGGGGTGGGTGAGTGGGAAGTGTGAGGTGTGGGAGCGGCTGGTTGAAGTGAGGAGAATGGGAGGTATTCAGCAGCCCAAACGTGCGAAAGAGCTGGTAGATGAGCGGAATGAAGGGGTGAAGGAACAAGCTAGCAGCTCAGAAGGGGGAAGGGGTGAAGTCGCGTCAAGAGGAAAGACTCACCAGCTGCAGGTTCTGAGCGAGGAAGGCCTCCTCTGTGAGGCCGTAGAGCTGGTAGACGAGATGAGTGAAGGGGCGAGGGAACAGGCTGGCAGCTCAAAAGGTGGATGAAACGGGTCACCAGAGAGAGAGAGAGAGCTCACCAGCTGCAGGTTCTGAGCGAGGAAGGCCTCTTCTGTGAGGCCGTAGAGCTGGTAGACGAGCGGGCAGTCAATGTCTATCGGGAAGGAGACGGTGTAGCTGGGGTAGATGGCTGCAGGGAGGGGGGTGGGTGGGGAAAGACGGGGGAGGTGGATAGAGGGGGAAAGACAGGAGGCCAGAGTTGGGGAATGGGGAAGACGAGCGGGCAGTCGATTTCTTTTGGGAAGGAGACGGTGTAGGTGGGGTAGATGGCTGCAGGGAGGGGGGGTGGTGGGGGGGACATACGGTACAGGGAGGAGACGGAGAAAGACGGAAGAGGCTAGAGTTTGGGGGAATGAGCGGGCAGTCGATGCCTATTGGGAAGGAGATGGTGTAGCTGGGGTAGATGGCTGCAGGGAAGCGGGGTGGAGGGGGGGAACGGTGATAGGGGGTTAACAGGTGGGGAGGGGGGGTGGACGAATTAGTGCAGATAGGTGAGTGAGAAGCACGATGCAAAGAGGCGAGAAAGAGGAGGAGAGGTGATGGAGATGCGAGGAGAACACAAGGGAGAGGAAGGTGCAACCACGGTTGAACACCTACTTGGGACGCATGTGTGAGCGCCGTTGGGCCGGTACCCCTGTTCGAATCCCGTCGGACAGAGACAAAAGAAGCCGCCCGCATTGTCGTTGATGCACGTGCCGACCGCACACGGATTGTCGTCCTGCATGCTGCACACGTCAGCTGGCAGGGGGCGCGTGGGGGGGCGGGGGGGCAAGGGCGGGGGGAAGGGAGGGGGGAAGGGAGGGGGGAGGGGCGGAGGTGCACGGATGGGAAGGAATGGGCGGTGGGGGAGAGGGAGAGGGAGGGAGGGAGAGTTTCTATTAGGAGCACGGATTGTCGTCCTGCATGCTGCACACGTCAGCTGGCAGGGAGCGCGTGGGGGGGCGGGGGAGGGGCGGAGGTGAATGGGACAGAGGGAGGGGGAGGGGCGGAGGGGGAGTTTCTATCAGCTAACAGGATTGTCGTCCTGCTGACTGCACACGTCAGCCGGTAGGGGGCGAGTGAGGGGGGGGGAGGGGGGCAGGGGGGGTACAGGGAGAAGGAGAGGTGCAGACGGGAGGGGGTTGGGTGTGGCGGGGGGGGGGTTTCAACCACTATCATTTGTGTGCCACTCACCAACCAATCACACACATGTGAGAGCCACCTCTGTGAGGAGCGGGAATAAAGAGCAGCTGCACCAACCCATGCGCCATTCACACCACCAACCAAGCACTTTCGTTTGTGCGCCACTCACCGAACACACACGTCTGGTCGCCGCCCTTGTCAGCAACGGCAATGAAGAGCGGATCCAGGCATGTGCATGTGTAGTCACCGTTCCCTGCGTCCTCGCATGTGCCTCCCCCACATGGGTTCTGCGGTGACAGGCACGGCGAGGGCGCTGGTGTGCGTTTGGGGGGTAACGGGAGGGGACTTGTGAGGCGCGTCAAACTTGGGAATCCAGACACGTGTATGTGTCGTAGCCACCCCCTATGTCCTCCTGACATCACATGTGCCTCGCCCACATGGGTTCTGCGGTGACAGGCATGGCGACAGTGCTGGTGACGGGGGGGAAGGGGGAAGGGGGGAGAGGAATGGTGAGGTGCTTCAAAAGAGCGAATGCAGACATGTGCATGCGTTGGTGTGTGTGTGCACATGTCTATGCATAGGTGTGTGCATGTGTGCACATGTGTAGTGCATAGAGGCGAGGAGGGCAACCCACTCTTAGATGATGGGGTAGAGGGCCGGCACTGATTAAATGCCACAGATGCCAGTGCCCCCCCTGAGTGTGCGTGCATGCGTGTGCATGCGTGTGTGTGTGTGTGTGTGTGTGTGTGTGTGTGTGTGTGTGTGTCTGTGTGTCTGTGTGTGTGTGCGTGCGTGCGTGCGTGTGCGTGTGTACGTGTGTGTGTGTGTGTGTGTGTGTGTGTGTGTGTGTGTGTGTGTGTGTGTGTGCGTGGGTGTGCGTGGGTACGTGTGTGTGTGCGCGTACGCATAGTGGATGTGAGGTTGACTCACTCTTAATAACGGGGTAGATGGCTGGCACCGAGTGAATGCCACAGATACCCGTGCCTCCCCCAAAGGCCATTTGCATGTAGCCCTGCACGCAGAGAGAGAGCAAGGAGAGCAAGGGAGAACGCATGCACAGAGCGTTATTTGGTATTCTCTTGCAGGTCGCTTTTGCTTTCTTGCAACACAAAAATAAACTACCTTTTGAGTAGTATGAGAGGTTACACACGAGGTACTAGAAGCATGGGGGCGCATCCCAATAAGGTTAACAAACAGCATGCAGCGCACACCTGCCTGCCAAGCATGCGACAGGACACATCCCACCTGCATGCATCCCACCTGCATGCATCCCACCTGCATGCATCCCACCTGCATGCCCCATTTTTCCCCCCAGGAGTTGCGGATGATCCAGTAGGCCCCCTGCAACGAGAAGCTGTAGCCCATCCCCATCACCGCACCAGCACGCTGATAGGAATTTTCAAAAGTGACTCAACTTGGAGAATTCTCGAAAGATCCCACCTGCATGCCCCACTTGCTTCCCCAGGAGTTGCGGATGATCCAGTAAGCCCCGTCTGAGGAGATGCTGTAGCCCATCACCACCACGCTGTGATCCACCACCCCCGCTGCTGCACACCCCTGGTCCCAGTATATGCCCTGGGGGGGTGAGAGGTGGAGGGGAGAAGTGGGGGGAGAAGGGAAAGGTTGAGCCGGGTGCAGTGCAAGGCACCCTCTCTTGCAGCGGATGATCCAGTAAGCCCCGTCTGAGGAGATGCTGTAGCCCATCACCACCACGCTGTGATCCACCACCCCCGCTGCTGCACACCCCTGGTCCCAGTATATGTCCTGAGGGGGTGAGAGGTGGAGGGACGAAATGGGGGGAGAGAAGTGGAGAGAGAGAAGTGGAGGGTGAGAGGTGGAGGGGTTGGAAAGGGGAAAGGTGAGGAGAGAGAAGTGCATGGTACCGCTCACACTACCCCACCACTAGCCACGCTGTGATCCACCACTCCCGCTGCTGCACACCCCTGGTCACTGTATATGCCCTGAGGGGGTGAGAGGTAGAGAGGTTGGGAAGGGGAAGATGAGGAGAGTGCAATGCATGGTGCCTCTCACACCACCCCATCACCAGCACCATTTTGAGTCGACTCAGAAGCCATTTTGAGTCGACTCAGAAGAGGGGTGTAAGAAGCCCTCAGACGACCCAGATTACAGCTACACACTGCTCTGCGTACCTCTGAGTAGGACTGTAAGGAGGAGTAAGAGCCTTTGAATAGACTTCACACCAATGAATTGCTTCCCTTACATTTGTGTAGGTTTGAAAGGAGGGGTAGGAGCCTCGCACGAATGCAATGGTGGGTTGAACCTGCAACAGGGGGCATCGTGGTGGGGAAGTTGGTAGGAGAGGAGGGAGCGGAAGGGGAGGATAGGGAAGGGGGAGGGGAAGAAGGGGGAGGGGAGGAAAAGGGACGGAGAGGAGAAGGGAGGAAAGAAGGGGAGATGAGGAATGGGCGGATTGGAAAGAGTGGGCGGAGCAAATTCAATAGCTGCATCCTGCTGAGAAGTTGTAACTGTGCACAAACCCAAATTTGCGTGCATTACGCCACAGAGAGATTGAACTGAACACCAAGCATCCTGCATTCTGACAGGCTGCGAAGTGCAGCACCGCGCGAACAAGTTCAAACGGCTACGACACGGGTAACTGCTACAAAGGGGCTGACAAAACGTAAAAGGGCGCGTTCAGCAGGATTCGAACCTGCGCGGGCAGAGCCCAACAGATTTCGAGTCTGTCCCGTTAACCACTCCGGCATAAACGCTTGTTATTGCGTTTCCTGCACATCGTTCCTTCACTGCCGCTTGCACTTGCACAAGCACTGCCGCCTGCACACTGCCACCTGCACTACCTCCTGCACTTCCAGCATCATCTCACCACTGAAGATCTGTGGTGCATGAGCATCCTGCCTTACGTTGACAGCAAGACGCAAGCCGAGCCAGCCAAGCAAGCCGAGCCAGCCGTACAAGTCCACCACACCAGTATGTGCCATGGCTGGCAGCGAGGCTTATGGCGATAGGGAGCAGGCCGAGCCAGCTGTAGAAGGTTAACTGGTCGTACCCTGCTGCACACCAGTACTTGCCGAGCCTAGAACTAACGTGGCAGCGACTTGCTATGGGTAAAAGAAGAAAATATGTTTTTTTTTGTAGACATGGTGAAAAGAAAAGAACCGGTGACCGGTTTCGGCATTTAAGCTTACGTTGACAGCGAGCAGCAGGCCGAGCCAGCCGTAGAAGTCCACCTGGTCGTACCCCGTGATGCCCATGGCCGTCGCCTGCTGCTTCGCCTGGGGCAGGGGCGCGTGGGCACAGGGGCGCGTGGACACAGGGGCGCGTGGGCACAGGGCACATGGGCATGGGAGCGTTGACAGACAGCAGCAGACCCAGCCAGCCGTAGAAGTCCACCTGGTCGTACCCCGTGATGCCCATGGCCGTCGCCTGCTGCTTCGCCTGGAAGGGGAGACACAGGGCACAGGCACATGGGCATGGGCATGGGCATGGGCACAAGGGCACATGGGCATGGGCATGGGCATGGGCATGGGCATGGGCATGGGCATGGGCACATGGGCATGGGCATGGGCATGGGCATGGGCATGGGCATGGGCATGGGCATGGGCACATGGGCATGGGCGTGTGAGCTTGAACGGCTCATATCTCTCCCCTATGCACACAAACAGTAAGGCGTCACCGATCAAACAAGCAAGGAGTCCCGAAACGAAGATGCGCATCACGAAGCATTCGAATGCGTCTGTACCAAGCCAAGTATTGGCCGTACGCAATGACCCAGGCTGTGCGACTGCACTGGCTGTGCGACTGCACATGGCAGGGCAGCTGCGCAACATGCTGTCGTCTCGAAGCCTTTAAGAAAACATCGCCCCACACAAGGCTTAAACAGGTAGAATTGCTCACACTCGACTTACCTTGGCGCGGTTACATTTGCCGTCCTTCTGCGTGTACGTGTACCCAGCCTCGCAGGCGAGCCCCCCCCACCCACTGCATCGTACCTTCCCCAGCCGCACCTACCCCAGGCGTACCTCCTCCATGCGTACCTTTCCCCTGTTGCATTTGCCGTCCTTCTGCGTGTACGTGTACCCAGCCTCGCAGGCGAGCCCTCCCACTGCATCGTGCTTTCCCGCAGGCATACCTCCCCCAGCCGTACCTTTCCCCGGTTGCATTTGCCGTCCTTCTGCGAGTACGCGTACCCAGCCTCACATGCGAGCCCCCCCCACTGCGTTGTTGCATCCACCATGTAGTCCAGCGCTGCCGTGGGCCACCCGCCCGCGGCACAGGTGCTGCTGCTGTTCCTGCAGTCCAGTACCTGATGCGTAGGGGAGAAAAGGGTACAGGGGTGCCAGTTCAACGCGGCAATGAGAGGCTCTCCCCCCTCTCCCCACTGCGTTGTGGCGTCCACCATGTAGTCCAGTGCTGCCGTCGGCCACCCGCCCGCCGCACAGCTGCTGCTGTTAGGTACAGGCTACGCGCTACACGGTATAAGCTGCATGCATACATTATAATTCAGTCCTAGTGGTTGCTCAGGTTAAAGCCCGTGGTAGCAGCTGTCGCACCTGCTGTACTGATATGCGCTGGGGGGGATCCATGGAGGGCGTCGAGGCAGCTACTAACGCGTACGCCATTTCCACTGCGCTCACTGCTGTGATGGCCCATGATGACTCTGGGGAGTGAAAAGGGGAAGGGGAGGGGAGTGGGGGGGAGGGAAGGGGAGCGGGAAGAGGAAAAGGGGCTGAAAAATGCCGAGAAACACCTGAGGCGGAGGATTGAAAAAAAAAAAGCAGATACTCTCATTACTAGGAGGGGGAAATCAGCCTCGCTCTGCTCCCCTCTCCCCCCAAAATCTCACCAGCCTGCCGCCGCCCCCCCCCCCTCCCTCTCCCTCCCCGCTGGTCTCTCCTGCACACACATGCGCGCAGTCGGCGTGATCGCGTTGCTCTCGCATGTGCTCGCTTGCGTGAGCCGGCGCGTGCATGCGAGTTGGCGCGTGCCTGCGCGAGCCAGCACGAGCCAGCGTGTGTCCGTTCTGAGCCATCTCGCGCGCATTCCACGTGCATTTGCCTTTCGAAAGCTCTCGGAAACCAACAAAGCCGCCGCGGCGCACTCACTGCATTTGCCTTCGGAGCGCAGCGCGAGAACCGGCGCGAGGCGCGAATCCTCGACCCAGTTGCGACCGGCGAAAAGGTCGGTTGCGACGTTCCCCGTCGCCGCGTCAAAGAGGGTGCTGATCAGCCGGAAGAACCGGTTCGCGTACTTGGGAGTCACCGACGCCACCGCGGGATTTGCGCTGCATCGATAGCTCTGGGCTGCTTCCTTTCGAGGGGCTGTTTATGAGATTGTAAAAAAGGACCGAGGCAGACGGGGGAGAGACGAGGAAAAGGAGAGGGGGGAGGGAGAGCAACTGAGGGGAGGAAGAAGGGAGAGTAACGTAAGGGAGGGGAAGGAAGAAGGGAAGGCAACGGATTTAGTTTCATTTATGATAGTGATGCCGAGAGTGGCGCCAGTTTGGACTTGTGAGTCGACTCGGAAGGGGAGGGACAACATGATAAGAGGGCGCTTGGACTTCCTAATCGAACCTAACGTCGCATCAAAAGGATGGAGGACGAGGGGAAGGGGAAGGGAGGGGCTGGGGTGATCTTTGCCTAGAATGCGCGAGTCGCGATCGGACAAGGGAAAAAAACGCGCAAGGCAAGGAGAAGTAGAATGATGGCCGCCGACGCTGACTGACCTGCGACAGCGACACTGCCGCTCGCGAGCACGGCGGCGAGAAGCACGATCACCGCGTAGCACGCCTGTCGGGACGCGAAAAAGCCACTACTGTTAGTAGGCATTGGAAGTCTCCCTCCACCGCGCTCGGCGGCGCGTGGGAATGTCTGCGTCGTGTTAGATTGCGAAAAGCAGCGCTGTTGAGCCACCGCCGGCGCTTCCGCGCAACGACAGACGCCGTGGGTGCGCATGGCGGCTGTCCACGCTGTATGGGGGCTTTAATATGGCTTGTCTAATCTCGGAGCACGCCGCTGCTCGCCGGTTATGTGACGGTCGACGCGGCGGTGGCCTCGGAGGTGACTTTTTGAGACGTCTAAAAAAATCACTGTATACACGTGGCTTTGGTTCGTCTAATCTCGGAGCACGCTGCTCGGTGCGATTATGTGACGGTCGACGCGGCGGTGGCCTCGGAGGTGACTTTTGAGTCAAATTCAAAGTCTCCTTGTACACCTAGACGAGGCAATTTCTGAGGCGCCTAAGAAAATATGAGTCTCGTGGATGGGTTACTTCGTGAGGCGCCTAGAATTACTAGATCGTCTGCATGGGACTAAAACGACGCTCAGGAACACAATCATTCGAAAGCTCCCAATATGGCTTGCTTGCGAAGACAGTGCACAAGGAGACGGCGAATTGGGAAGGGAACGGGGCTGCTCTCTCGTGCCTCACTCGTGTACGACAATCATTTCTTCCGAATAGATTCATTTGTGGAAGTTGAAATTGGTGCAGTTTTTTTGGCAACTCTTGCACGCCTCTTTCGTCTCCCCTCTGGTGACCCGTCCCGCCACGCACGTCCCCCTCGGCCTCAGCTTCCTGAAAGGCGGCAACTGACTGAGGTTTTGAGATGTTGCCTGCGACTCGATTCAGCTCAACAAGACGCCAGGATTGAGCGCAAGAAGCGGCAGATTCACTTTTCATCGGGCAAGTGTTCTTCGTGAATTCATTACAGAATACAATACTGTGGGAAACTTAGCAAAGACATTCGATCCTCTACAGAGAGTTCTGCCAAACTTCTCAAACATCACAGAATGCTATTGCTGGTGGGGGAAGAAACATGTGGACGAGACAAAAGGACAGCCAGGCTTCTGGTGTCTGCGCAGGTTCCTGCAGGTGTTTCTGTGGGAACCGGAAACGTAGATATGTGTGGACGAAACCTGGTCATGAAACCAGATATTGCCGAAATTGTAGGTGTTACAGAAATGTTTTGAGTGTTTTTGTGGGGAAGCTAACAATGGTATTCAGCTTCGATTTTGCAATGCAACATCTCATACAGGAAAGCGATGCTGCCAATGTGAAAGTGAAATCCTACCCAAGCATGTTGACCTGTCAGAGCGCTTTTGAGTTCAGCGACCCTCTATCTGCACGCACCTCATGCATCATCGTTGCAAGTTAGCTAGCTAGTAGGCTTGCATGGAGCCACCCCTCGTCAGCATCTCAATCTGACTGCTCGTAGCAATTGGCATGCATTGCCTAACTGCTCGCTCTTTCGGAAGTCACCTCAGCTTCCGTGTCGCGTGGAGCCGCGGCCTGCACCACAACCAGCGCTTTCGCCAAAGATTAGGGTTCTGCCTACTATGGATATTCGAGAATTTTGTATGCAGCCGATTGTCGCGTATCTTTGGATCAGCAGCGCACCATCTTCTCGTTCCTTGCCAGCGTTCCTTACAGAAGTTTTGTGCTTTCCTTCACAAATAATTTTGATACAAATAATTTCTGGCGCCGGCTCAAATAGTTGGGATGAAGCCTCATGAGGAGTTTCTTACGAACGTGCGTTAAAGCGGTTGCTCTAGTTGTAGCAGTGCCAGATGGTTCTACTGGAAGCATGGCATCCGTCTGGCTCGTCCTGCTCCTGCTGTGCATATCCTGTTTAAACACCTGCGGTGCTCGTTCTACCGCAACTGCTGGCGCTACTTCATCTGCAGCATATCCGGGCTATGGCGGAGTCATGGTGTGCGTTCACTGTGGGGGCATGTCCTGGTGGGCCTCACTTATCATCGCCGTAGTGTGCCTCGCTTTTGTTGTTGCACTCTTCTGCCTTCTGTATCGAGTCATTTGTGTGGGCCTAAGGCGTTGGCGGCAACGCAAGCAAATTCAGCATCATCAGCATCAGGAGGAGAATCTGCACCAGCAGCAGCAGCAACAGCAACAGCATGAATGGCCAGAATTGCAGGATGATATTTTACCAACGTCAATTCAACCAACGACAAGGGAGACAGCGACGTGTTCTTCACAGGATGGTCCTCCATTATATCCTTCAGAGCTGTACAATCTTCAGACCTCCCCTATAAGGCCAAGTTACCCTAAATGACTAGTGATGTGCTTCTTTAGGCTTACAGGTGCAATTGACATGCCTAGTGCAGCAGAAGATTCAACATACCTAATGCACATGATGTAGTGCCATCCTGGCAGCATAGGAGTGCTCTAGCTCGCTTCACCTATAGCCAGTGTCTGGATTGCACCATCTAGACATTTTACTCTGGCTGCAAACATCTCCTTAACATACGAAACCATAGGAAGTTAACCCAAGAGCCCCAATTAAGCCAAACGTAAAAAATCAAAGTATGAATGAGCTGACTGAACCCACTTTCATCGTATCGTCAGTTATTGTAATCACGGTCTCGATATTGATAACACCTTCGCGAGCTGCAAGGAAACATTACTGTACAGCATGGCGGAACATCCGCGGCAACCTGCACAGCGCGCAGGCACAAGGAACCTGACGCGTCTCTACAGCCAATCAACACTCGACCTTCAGCGTCGCTCGCGGAATTCTCAGAACCACCCATGTTTCTTCCGCAACGAAAGTTTGGCTGTTGTGAGAAGTGAGAATTTTGGCTGAATGCCGCACGGATTTAGCGAGAATATCTCTTCGAACCCTAGTGTTTTTTTTTTTTTTTTTTTTTTTTTTTGCGGGTGAATGATTGCTTGCAAACCTACTGGCATTTTTCCATCTGACGATTTGTATCTGCCGCTCCTTGTGCCCCGCCCCTGGCGGCTTTGCGAATCGAGGCGCAGGCAACATGTGAAATCCTCAGGATGCACCTGGGCACTGAGTCGCGCGCATTGGCACGTGCTGGGGCGCCCCAGCGCGTGCCAGCACGGAGCGGTTCACCCAGGTTTGCGCGCCGCGCTACAACCTCAGTTTCCGCCTTTCAGCTGGGGCAGGCAGTTCCGGACAAGACGTTAGGGGGGGGATGAAAGAGTCTGATCTGGTAAGAGCTTCCGGTCAGTCGTAGCTCGCAAGCCGCGAGGGAGTCGGAGTCGTAGCTGAGCGGGCTTGGGCTTGCGCAAGCCATGGGCACTTGCGCAGGCCACGGGCGAGGAGCCTCTCCCTTCTCTCGCCGCCCGCTTGTCTTGGCAAGCACGCGGGTATCCTTCGAATGGTTTGTGTTCACGACGGGGATCGTAGGCACGACAGACGTAAGTATAAAAAGCCCATCGAGGTGGCTAGGCGCTTCAAAAATTCCTCGTTTATCAGACCCTGGTCGACTCAAAGACACCTCCGGCGAAGGCTACGAGTCGACCGTCGACTGTCACGTCATCGAGAGCAGCGCGCCCCGAGATTGTACAAATCGGATTTCAAGTCTTCAAGTCAAATCAAAGCCGTCAAGTTCGTGCGCACAGCCGCCATGCGCATTCATGGCGTTTGTTGTTGCGCCGCTCTCGCGGCGGCGGCGCAATACCGCTGCGGTTCGCGATCGAATCCGACATCGCCACGCGCCGCCGCGCCCGCCGGAAAGGAACTTCTCCCTTCCGAGCCGCGTCGCCGCTGGCCAATGCCTACTAACGGTGAAGACCTTTTCGCGACCCGACAAGACTGCTTCGCGAAGTTCGCGATGATCGTGCTTCTCGTTGCGCTGCTCGCGAACGGCAGTGTCCCTGTCGCAGGTCAGTCATGCGTCCACCTACCTTCCTTGCCTTCCTGTTTCTCCCTCTCGCCCTCACAACTGGCGCCACTGGCACCGGAACCAGAATCGATACCGTGTCTGTGACAGAATCCCGTCTCTTCCCTGACCCTTCGTCCTTCCCCTTCCCTTCCGTTAATCTCCCTCTCCCCCCCTTTTTTCCTCGTCTCTTCCCCATCTGGCCCCGCCGGTACAGCCCAAAGCTATAATTGCAGCGCAAATCCCGCGGTGGCGTCGGTGACTCCCAAGTATGCCAACCGGTTCTTCCGGCTGATCAGCACGATCGCGTACGGCATTTACCCTTCTCAAAACTGGGCCGCGGACACCCGCCTCCAGCCGGTTCTCGCGCCGCTGCGCACCGAAGGCAAATGCAGTGAGTGCGCCACCGATCTTTTGAGACATGTTCCAGCGAGCAGGTTGCTGAAAGGCGAACCGGTACTTCCGGCTGATCAGCACATCTCAAACATAAACATCTTCCCTTATCAGAACTGGGCCGAGTACACCTGCCTCCAGCCGGTTCTCGCGCCCGCCGCTGCGCACCAATGGCAATGCAGCGCGGCGGCGGCGGCGGCCGCGGGCTGGTTTTCCGAGAGTTTCTTGAGTGGGAAACGCCGCACGTGAAGTGAGCGCGCGCGAAGATGGATCAGACGCGGGCACACCTGCTCGCACAGTCACGCGCAAAAAGAAACCGGGGCGCGCAGCGAGCACACGCAGCCTGGCTGAGAACAACGCCGCGATCATGCAGGCTGGCGCACATGTGCAGGCTCGCTCAATTTGGGAATGATATTTCCTTGTTTACATGATCCCTACCTAGCCTAAGCTTAGTATAGTGAGACTAGAACGAGTTAGATCTGCTGGATCTGGGTCGAACCTACCTTTCTGTGCTGGCTGGAGAGACCCGGGGGAGAGGGACAGGGGGAGGGAGAGGGGGGGGGGGAGAGGGGGAGAGAAATGGGGAGGGAGAGGGGGAGGGAGAGGGAGAGGGAGAGCGGGAGGGAGAGGGGGAGGGAGAGGGGGGAGGGAGAGGGGGGAGGGAGAGGGGGAGGGAGAGGGGGAGGGAGAGGGGAAGGGAGAGGGGGAGGGAGAGGGGGAGGGAGAGGGGGAGGGAGAGGGGGAGGGAGAGGGGGGGAGGGAGAGGGGGAGGGAGAGGGGGAGGGAGAGGGGGAGGGAGAGGGGGAGGGAGAGGGGGAGGGAGAGGGGGGGAGGGAGAGGGGGAGGGAGAGAGGGGGATGATCCTTTGAAGTGAGGGGATCAGAGCAGTGCTATTTTTGGTCCTAATCTGAAGAGTAGTATATGTAATTTTTTGTCCCTCCCCTCACCCCCCTCCGCTCCCCTTCCAACTTTCACCCCCCAGGGTCATCATGGGCCATCACAGCAGTGAGCGCAGTGGAGATGGCGTACGCGTTAGTGGCTGACTCGGTGCCCTCCATGGCGCCCCCCCAGCGCATATCACTACAGCAGGTGCGGAAGCTACTACTACCAAGCACGGGCTTCAACCTGAGCAGTTACTACCACTTCTGCTGGGGTATTATGCATGCTTATCCGCGTCGCGTGCAGCTTATACTGTGTACGCGTTGCTTCTACGCAACAGCAGCAGCAGCAGCAGCAGCTGCAGGTTCCTGATTGTAGGCTCATCGGCAGGTGAGTTGTTCTGTACTGTGACCGCAGGAACAGCAGCAGCACCGACCTCTCCTTCTCCACCCCCCAACCCCTCGGTGCAAGAATAGTAGCTCCAGCCTCCAGCAGCAACTGCTGTGCTGGACTGGACTACGTGGTGGACGCCACGCCGCGCCACACTCCAGTGGGGGAAGCATCGATATTTATATCTCACAGCCACACCACCCGTTTAACTCCTTCCCTTCCCCCACCCCCTTAAACCCCACAGGTGCTGGACTGCAATAACAGCACCAGCAGCAACTGTGCTGACGGCGGGTGGCCCACGGCAGCGCTGGACTACATGGTGGACGCCACGCGGCTGTGGGGGGGGCTCACTGCCGAGGCAGCGTACTACCCGTACATGCAGAAGCAGGGCAAATGCATCCGGCGCAGGGTACGCCTGGGGGTGGTCTGCCAGAGGGAGGTTGTTTCTGAGGATTCTCAAAAGCAACCTGAAACGAGAAGTGTACTTTCCATACATGCAGAAGCAGGGCAGATGCATCCGGCGCAAGGTACCTTTGGGGTTGGTTGGTCTGCCTGGGTCGCTTTTGAGAATTCTCAATAGCGCGTCAGTGGGAGGGGGGGGGGGGGGGGGGCACCACTGGGGCAGCGTACTTTCCTTACACGCAGAAGCAGAGCAGATGCATCCAACGGAAGGTACGCGGAGGGGGGGGGCTTCCTGGGGGAGGTACGCCTGGGGGAGGGTGCACCTGGGAACGGTGTCTTGCCCGTGTATAGTCATATGCCCTAGTGCCCCTGCTCTTGTGCCGGCCCTGACCTTGCACCCCCTGCCCATGTGCTCATGTTCCCATGTGTGCCCATGTACCCATGCTTATGCGCCCTCGCCCATGCGCCCATGCTTATGCGCCCTCGCCCATGCGCCCATGCTTATGCGCCCCCGCCCATGCGCCCTGTCTGTGTGCCCCTGCGCCCATACCTCTGCGCCCACGCCCATGCGCCTGTGCGCCCTGTCTGTGAGCCCAGGCGACGGCGATGGGCATCACGGGGTACGACCAGGTGGACTTCTACGGCTGGCTGGGCCTGCTGCTCGCTGTCAACGTAAGGCTCAGTGCTGGTGATAGATCATACTTCTGTGACAGTGCAGGAAATTTGCATAGATAGTTTGGATGAAGCTTCCTCACCCCTTACCTTCTATATTGGTGCGACTTTGAGAATTCTCAAAAGTCGCACCAGAATTCTCAATAGTCACAGATAGTCAGGATGAAGCTTCCTCACCCCTTACCTTCTATATTGGTGCGACTTTGAGAATTCTCAAAAGTCACACCAGAATTCTCAATAGTCACAGATAGTCTGGATGATGCTTCCTCACCCCTTACCTTCTCCTTCCCCTCCGCCCACACTTGCCAATCCGCCCATTCCTCATCTCTCATTCTCCTCTCCTCCCCTTATCCTCTCCTCCCCTTATCCACTCCTCCCCTTATCCTCTCCTCCCCTTTTCCTCTTCTACCCTTATCCTCTCCTCCTCCTCCCCTTCTTCTCTCCTTCCCTCTCCTCTCCTCCCCTTCCCTCGCCTCCCCCTCCCCTCTCCTACACTCCACCTCTCTTTCCCTCCACCTCTCCTTCCCTTTCCTTCTCACTCCCCTCCCCCCTTTGCCTCTCTGCTGCAGACTCAGCCCACCATTGCATTCGTGCGAGGCTCCTACCCCTCCTTCCAAACCTACACAGAGGTAAGGGAAAAAGTGCTTTGTGAATGTGAGTCCTCCTTCCACACGTACACAGAGGTACGGGAAACACTCTTTAGGTGTGCTCTGAGTCGACCCAGAAGCTTTCACCCCTCCTTCCAAACGTACACGAAGGTACGGCGACCAGTCCCTTTTGGGTGGACGCCAAGTTTTGAGTCGACTCAAAACACAGCTTTCACCCCTCCTTCCGGACGTACACAAAGGTACGGCGACCTGTTCCTTTTGGGTGGATGCCAAAGGCACTCAGGCTCGGCCCACCATTGCATTCACTTGGGCCCTCTGAGCGCCTCAAAAGCCACCGTTGCGCTTCTTTTTGAGGCTTTTGAGGCTCTTATGCTTCTTTCCAAACCAGCACACACACGGATACGGAGAACAAAGTTTAGTTGTATCTTGAGTCGCCCAGTCCTCCTCACAGAACAGGCAGCAGGGACATTGCTTCAGCTAATGTGATGAGCAGTTATGGCATGCAGAAGCGATGGCATGCACGGCAAGCAGCCATGGCCTGCAGTCAACTGTGCTCATCCTTTCCCCTTCTCCCTCCTCCTTCCCCTCATTCCTCTCTCCCTTCCACTTCTCCCCGTCCGCGTGTTTTCCCCTCTCAGGGCACATACAGCGACCCAGGGTGTGCAGCGGCGGGGGTGGTGGATCATAGCGTGGTGGTGATGGGCTACAGCATCTCCTCAGACGGAGCCTACTGGATCCTCCGCAACTCCTGGGGGGGCACCTGGGGCATGCAGGTACGTCACACGCTGCTAACCCACCGCTGATCCTCCCCAAGACCAATGCAGCTGGTAATGGGGTACAGACAGCATCTCGCCGCAGGGCGCCTACTGAATCTCTTTTTGACTTCTCACTCTCTTTTTGAATTCTCACTCTCTGTTTGCATTCTCACTCTCTTTTTGCTGCCCACTCTCCGCATGCAGGGCTACATGCAAATGGCCGTTGAGGGAGGCGTTGGCATCTGTGGCATTCACTCCGTGCCGGCCCTCTACCCCATCATTAAGAGTGAGTAGGCCTTCTTGATTCTATCCAGAGCACATGTGCACATGTGCACTCGCACACACACTCTCACACACTCGCATGCACACTCGCATGCACACTCACACGCACACTCGCACGCACACTCGCACGCACACTAGCGCGCACACTCGCATGCACAGTCGCACGCACACTCGCACGCACACTCGCACGCACACTCGCGCACACACTCGCACGCTCACTCGCACGCACACTCGCACACACACCCTGTGCACATGTGCATTCACAATGACATCTCAGCACCCGGTGACATGTCAGCACTTTAAACCCCCTTTCTCCACCTCCCCCCCTTCTCCCCCCCCCCTTCCCCCTGCCCCTTCCTCTCCTTCCCTCCTCCCTCTCCCCTATCCACGCCACACACGCACCAGCGGCCTCGCCGTGCCTGTCACCATAGATCCCATGTGGGGGAGGCACATGTCAGGACATGGGGAAAGCACTCGCTACACATGCAAGTGTCTGCACTCGCTCTTTTGAGACGCCTCACAAGTCCTCTACCCCCTCGCCCCTCTCCTCTCACCTCCTCTTACCCCAACCCCTCACACCAGAGGCTCATGTCAGGACGTGGGGAAAACGACTATAGATCCAAGTCTCTGAACTCGCTCCAATAAGGCGGCCCACATGTCCTCTCCTCTCCCGTCTTCCCCACACCAGCGGCTTCGCCGTGCCTGTCACCACAGATCCCATGTGGGGGAGGCACATGTCAGGACATGGGGAGCGGCCAATACACATGCATGTGCTATGAGCCGTACTTCATTCCCGTTTCTGACAGAGGTGGCGCCCAGACGTGTGTGTTTGGTGAGTGGTGCTCACCCCAGTGTGTTTGCGAGATGGGGTGCAGGCATGGGGTGAGATGGGGTGCAGGCATGGGGTGAGATGGGGTGCAGGCATGGGGTGAGATGGGGTACAGGCATGGGGTGAGATGGGGTGCAGGCATGGGGTGAGATGGGGTGCAGGCATGGGGTGAGATGGCGTGCAGGCATGGGGTGAGATGGGGTGCAGGCATGGGGTGAGATGGCGTGCAGGCATGGGGTGAGATGGGGTGCAGGCATGGGGTGAGATGGCGTGCAGGCATGGGGTGAGATGGCGTGCAGGCATGGGGTGAGATGGGGTGCAGGCATGGGGTGGGATGGGGTGCAGGCATGGGGTGAGATGGGGTGCAGGCATGGGGTGAGATGGGGTGCAGGCATGGGGTGAGATGGGGTGCAGGCATGGGGTGAGATGGGGTGCAGGCATGGGGTGAGATGGGGTGCAGGCATGGGGTGAGATGGGGTGCAGGCATGGGGTGAGATGGGGTGCAGGCATGGGGTGAGATGGGGTGCAGGCATGGGGTGAGATGGGGTGCAGGCATGGGGTGAGATGGGGTGCAGGCATGGGGTGAGATGGGGTGCAGGCATGGGGTGGGATGGGGTGCAGGCATGGGGTGAGATGGGGTGCAGGCATGGGGTGAGATGGGGTGCAGGCATGGGGTGAGATGGGGTGCAGGCATGGGGTGAGATGGGGTGCAGGCATGGGGTGAGATGGGGTGCAGGCATGGGGTGAGATGGGGTGCAGGCATGGGGTGAGATGGGGTGCAGGCATGGGGTGAGATGGGGTGCAGGCATGGGGTGAGATGGGGTGCAGGCATGGGGTGAGATGGGGTGCAGGCATGGGGTGAGATGGGGTGCAGGCATGGGGTGAGATGGGGTGCAGGCATGGGGTGAGATGGGGTGCAGGCATGGGGTGAGATGGGGTGCAGGCATGGGTGAGATGGGGTGCAGGCATGGGGTGAGATGGGGTGCAGGCATGGGGTGAGATGGCGTGCAGGCATGGGGTGAGATGGGGTGCAGGCATGGGGTGAGATGGGGTACAGGCATGGGTGAGATGGGATGAGATCTATGAGCATAAATTTGACACTTGTTTGAGTTGCAGGGTGCTTTTGAGAATTCTAAAAAAACAATGATATTCAAAGAACACTGATTCTAAAAAAACACGGATTCTAAAACAACACATGATAAAAGGCTCTGTTAACACTCTGATAAGAAGCTCACTGTGTTTTTTCCCCACTTTCCCCCACTTTTACCCCACTTTTCCCCCACTTTTCCCCACTTTTACCCCACTTTTCTTCCACTTTTCCCCACTTTTACCCCACTTTTCTTCCACTTTTCTTCCACTTTTCCCCACTTTTACCCCACTTTTCTTCCACTTTTCTTCCACGTTTCCCCCACTTTTCCCCCTCTTTTCCCCCACGTGCCATCATCTTTCCTCCCTTCTTTCCCATTACAATACATGACCTTACATTTGATCTCTCCTCCCTCCCTCTCCCTCCCAATCCCTCCCAACTCCCCTTGCGCCTCCTCCCCTCCCCCTGCACCTCTTCTCCGCCCCTTGCCTCCGCCCACTCGCAGTCAGCAGGACAAAAACGAGATGCCTTGTGAGTCGACTCAAAATTCCCTCCCCCTGCACCTCTTCCACTCCCCTCCCCCACTCGCCCCCTGCCAGCGGACGTGTGCAGCCAGCAGGACAACAATCCCTTCCCTCCCCATCCCTCCAAGTCCTCATCCCTTGCGCCCCTTCCCCTCCTCCCTGCACCTCTTCACTTCACCTCCCCCGCCCCCCCCCCTTACTCGCCCCCTGCCAGCTGACATGTGCAGCCAGCAGGACAAAACGAGATGACTTTTGACTCGACCCTAAATTCCCTCCGCTCCCCCTCCCCCACTCGGCAACTACCCCTCCGCTTGCCCTCCCGCCCACTCTGCCCCTCCCCCTTTCCCAGTCAGCCCCTCCCCCCTTCCAACTCGCACCCTGCCACTCGCCCCCTGCCAGCTGATGTGTGCAGCCTGCAGGATGACAATCCGTGTGCGGTCGGCACGTGCATCAACGACAACACGGGCGGCTACTTTTGTCTCTGTCCGCCGGGATTCGATCAAGGGTACCGCCCCAATGCAGCGCACACATGCGTCCCAAGTAAGTGCTCAAGTGGGCGGCTGCTCGTCTTTTGCTACCCATATTCACACAAGTGTCCAAATACGTATTCAAGTGGGCGGCTCCTCTTGTCATTTTCTAATTTCATGTTCTTTTAGGAGCCACTGAAAATCACATATGTCCCATCCCATGTATGCATATATCCCATCCCATGTATGCATATATCCCATCCCATGTATGCATATATCCCTTATTAACAGCTTACATCTGAACCATCACTGCATCTTCCTCTCTCTTGAGTTCTTCCAGCTTCTCAGTCGCTTCCCCTCCTCTTCTCACCTCTCCTCCTCTTCTCGCCTCTCCGCTTCTTGCTTCTCACTCACCTATCCACACTACTTCGTCCCTCCCTCTTCCTGGCCCTCTCCCCCTCCCTCTCTCCCCCTCTCCACCTGCCTCTCTCCAACCTCCAACACCACCACCACCCTTTTTTTCAGTGATTTCTTTTGTGTTTTTTGTTGTTGTTGTTGTTGTTGTTGTTGTTGTTGTTGTTTTTTATCCTCTTGTCTGGCCTCCCTGCATTCCTGCAGCCACCAACCCCAGCTACACGGTCATCTTCCCAATAGACATCGACTGTCCGCTCGTCTACCAGCTCTACGGCCTCACAGAGAAGGCATTCCTAGCTCAGAACCCCGACCTGGTGAGCTTGCTCTCACTAATGGTCCTTGTATTGATTAAACGACTATTACAAGCAAGGAGAGAATGCAAGCTAAGGTGAGACTGACAAAGTGTCATCATGTATAGCGTTCCTATCCCTCTGAACCCCTTATGCCCGTTACTGGAACTCCACTAGGGGTTCCAGCACCGCAAAGCTAACTCCTAGCGCCATAGTGAGTTTACTTTTGAGAATTCTCACAAGTAAACTCAACAAAGCTAACTCCTAGCGCCCAGATCACTGCATGACCATCTTCGCAAACACGGCAGTGAGCGTGCTGCCACCCCTCATGGGGTCTGTGCAGTGCGGGCTGTTCTACTCGTGGACTGGTCACTGGTGCAACTCACACCCCACCCCACCCCACCCCACCCCACCCCATCCCACCGTACCCCACCCACAGACCATGGATCACTGCATGACCATCCCCGCCAACACGGAAGTGAGCGTGCTGCCACCCCTCACGGGGTCGGTGCAGTGTGGGCTGTTCTACTCGTGGACGGCAAATGACACCTGTAATGGCGTGGCGAGCTTGTTCTCGCTCACAGTGGGCGGCTTGTTGCGTCTCAACCCCAACATCAACTGCACGAGTAAAACCGCCTGGAACGCTCCGACTGTGAACCAGCAGGTGAGATGCGGTGCAGTGCGGTGCTTAACGGTATGGCAGCGGCCCAGTTGACGGTGAATCAGATCAGCTGTGGGGCTCGACCCGGAGTCTCCGAATTGGAGATGAACAGCTTGTGAGCTGACATGCATGCCCTTGGAAGGAAGGGCAGCAGTGCTCCGACTGTGCGCGAGTTTTGAGACGTCTCAAAACTCAAAACTTTTTGAGACGTCTCAAAACCCGGAGTCTCCGACTTGGAGATGAACAGCTTGTGAGCTGACATGCATGCCCTTGGAAGGAAAGGAAGCAGTGCTCCGTCTGTGCGTACGGGGGGTGTATTCACCTTCACTCATGGTTAGGAAGGGCAGCAGTGCTAGGAAATTATGAGTGAAGACACCCTTGGAACAGCTTGTGAGCTGACACGCCCATGCGCACGGGGGGTGTATCTGAGTAGCTTCAAAAATTAATACGTTGCAACCTTTCATAGCATCCAGCCAATGTGCACGCAGTGGTGTACGGTGCAGGCAGGGGACACGAGTCAGAGCATCATGCCACCCGCTCCACTCCTTTCTCTCCCCTCTTCCTGCCCTTGCGCGTGTGCAGCTGTGCGCGCCAATAGGCAATGGGGAAGACCTGCCTGCATTGAGGTGATTTTCTATGCGCCTCAAAAACCACTTCCCTTCTTCCTCTCTTCCTGCCCTTGCGTGCGCAGCTGTGCGTGGCATTAGGCAACGGGGCAGACCTACCTATGTGCACGGAGTGGTACACGGTGCAGGCAGGGGACACGTGTCCGAGCATCATGGCGAGTCACTCACTCAATGACACTACATTCTTTGCACTCAACCCGGGGCTGGGCTGCGATAGCCTCTTCCCCTCCGTTGGTGCCAGCCTCTTCCCGTCCTTCAGTGGCAGCGGCCGCGGCTGGAGTGGCAATGGCGTGCAGGTGAGGGGTGGAGTGCAGTGAAGATGGGTGAGGGTATGGGGGGTGAGTTTGTATGCTTTCGCGCGCTCAACCCGGGGCTGGGCTGCGATAGCCTCTTCCCGTCCCTCGATGCCAGCCTCTTCCCGTCCTTTAGTGGCAGTGGCCACGGCTGGAGTGGCAATGGTGTGCAGGTGAGGGGTTGGGAGCGATGATGGTGCTGATTGCAGTATACGCCCATCCATCCCATCCTTCTACCACCATTTACCCACCCCTCCCCCCACACTAGTACACGCCCTTCCATCTTTCCAGGTTGCGTTTTCATGCACTATTAGAGTACCCTCCACGCCCATCCACCCCATCCACTAAAAAATCGTTCTCATGCATGATTAGAGTATTCGCCACGCCTATCCATCCTGTACTTCTACCACCATTCCACGCGCATCCATCCCCATCACAAGTCTGTGTGGATGCATACACCGCCAATGCACCCAGCCCATTGCCCTCGCTCTCACATCGTTCCTGCACACGCCTATCTTCCCCCTTCTGTGCTCCCATCGTCCTCCTGTGCTCCACGCCCATCCATCCCCATCGCAGGTGTGTGTGGACGCATACATCGTCAATGCAACCAGCCCATTTACATCTCGTTCACTCCGCGAGCTCCCCTCCACTTCCTCATCCCTTTCTTCTTCCTCCTCCTCTCCTTCATTGTTCTCAACACGGGGAAGAAGGCTCGGTCTCCACGCCTCCTCCTCCCACCCATCTCCAGCCTCCCTGCCTCGCCTCCCACCCCTCATCCCTTCTCTCTCACCAATGAGAGGCCGCCAGCTGGCGGTGTCTAAGGCGCCGTGCTTAAAGTACTACTCGGTGACGAGGGGGGACTTCTGTGCGCGCATCATATCGCTCAAGTTCCAGAACAGTGCGCGGAAGATGGCAGAGCTGAACAACGGATACGTGTGCACCAATAGCAAGCTCTACGTGGGGCTCTCACTTTGCACCCAGAGGTAGGAGTGTGTGCTTTCAAGGCGCCTCGAAGGGTGATACAATTGCTGATGGTAACCACATGCCAGTCTTGGGGCCTCCTTGCTGGCCCTTGTGAGGGCTGGAGGGGTAGAATCAGTGTTGGGGTGCAAGCAAGCAGAAGATAGGAGTTGTTTCACATCTCTTATGGGCATCACCGTCCCCAGTCGGTGGGGAATAAAAGAAGGGATGGCTCGCATTGAACTTTGAGTGCCGTTCCAAATGGCATTTCCAGTTGGTGGGTTGTCAGGAACGGCTGCGGTTGGGCTCTGTCCTATGTACTTTAGCTTTGTATTTTGTGCATGTTTGTATTAAATGCAAGATTTGATGTGGGCAGTTGTGGAGCTTCGGTGGGTGACCACTAGTGTGTTCCTCATATACGCAATGCAACATGGGAGTGGATTTACTGGGGCATGGTAATAGTACTAGAGTCCCACTTACCATGGATTTGGTGCTTGTTAAAAACAACCACATCAACAATCACATCAACAATCACATCAACATGATCACATCACCATGATCACATCACCATGATCACATCACCATGATCACATCACCATGATCACATCACCATGATCACATCACCATGATCACATCACCATGATCACATCACCATGATCACATCACCATGATCACATCACCATGATCACATCACATCACCATCATCAACTCAACGTGTCTTCCAATGTTCGAACCAAAGTTCGAACCCCAGCCTTATTGTCAGGCGGGCTTAAATCATACCGCCGACACTCATGAAGCTTCAACCTATCCATTTTGTGCTCCGATGTCACCTCAAACATGAGAACAGATAAGTTCTTTAGGTGCCTCGATCAAGAGGCCACCATAAACATTACGGATTGTTCCAACCTGGCTATAGCATTGTCAAGATTACAACTAGAGTAGATCAACGCATAACAACTTACAGCTATACTACGAAGTATTGGTAAGCCTACAACCGAGACTAGATAAACACATAACAAAGCATTGTCAAGCTTATTGTAGGATCAAGAATGTGAGAGTGAACGTCAATTCTCCCAAGTCAACTGCGTCCCACACAGTATACCCCGACTGCAGTCAAAGACAACACAGTCCTTGTCGCTGCTGCATTCCTGTCCAGCCAACACCAGGCACCCTTTCCGAATCATCACTGCCCAAAATGGAAACACCTGATGTGCCAACGTCGTCCAGCATCAGGGAAAGGGGTCTTCTAAGCAAGTATCTGGCTCCTGGACATGCATGCCTGGGTTTGAGCAGCAACTCATGCTCCCAACAGTCATGCCAATGCTGTCAGCCCTATGCATTCGACATGTATCGATGCAACTACCACCATTATGGAAGCTGGCCTGTGCACTCATGCCTGTGCTTGCACTCGAGACTGCATGTGCTACACAGTTAGGAACGACTTGCTGGGGTCCTGCCCTTACATGCTGGCCATACAAAGTTGTATGGCCTGCTGAAAGCCATGCAGGCCTGCTCAGGCTGGGAGGATTGGTTGTGAGAGTGCTGCTGCCACAGTAAGTATTGACTCTGCACGCATGATTTGCCATGTGAGCAGCTGGCTGCTGTTGTACCTGCTGCTGCTGCTGATGATGATACGGCTCCATCTGCTGCTGCTGCTCCTGCTGCTGCTGCTGCTGCTGCTGCTGCTGCTGCTGCTGCTGCTGCTGCTGCTGCTGCTGCTGCTGCTGCTGCTGCTGCTGCTGCTGCTGCTGCTGCTGCTGCTCCTGCTGCTCCTGCTGCTGCCCCTGCTGCTCCTGCTGCTGCTGCTGCTGCTGCTGCTGCTGCTGCTGCTGCTGCTGCTGCTGCTGCTGCTGCTGCTGCTGCTGCTGCTGCTGCTGCTGCTGCTGCTGCTGCTGCTGCTGCTGCTGCTGCTGCTGCTGCTGCTGCTGATGATGATGATACAGCTCCATCTGCTGGTGGTGGTGGTGCTGCTGCTGCTTCTCCTGCTGCTCCAGCTGCTGCTGGGAAGAAAGCAGATGGGGATAACTCGGCCCATCAGCTGCATTCGGTTTCACATCCCAGGCATCACACACCGGCCAGGGATCTCTGTCACTTGCAGTCACGGCATCAGCCATGGCGCCTGCCACAGCAGCCACGGCTGGATCTCTGTCACTTACATCCATGCTCCCAACTAGCTCTGTCACAACTGAATCAATTGGCTCCACCAAATGACACAACGCACCACCGCCAGGGTTACAGCTACAGGTGGTAACCCTACTGGGGGGTTGCCCGTTGTTACATCACCAGCCGGTATCGGTGGGGTTGACGAAGGGATGAGTGCTGGTGAGCTGCAGGTATTGGGGATGGGTGGACAAGGCCAGATGTACTCAACCGGCTCGCTTTTCCCGGAGGTGTGTTGAGAGATTGGGGCTGTTGCGGCATAACCATATGTGGTGGTGTCTGCAGTTTGTGGCACCACAGTTTGAATATTGCAAGGGAGCGGGTTGGCAGTAGAGACTCCAGCATGAGGTTCACACTTGGGGATACCTGTGGGGGATATGCCGGTGGCGGATGGATTCTCCTGGGGACAAATTTGTCCCGTAAAAGTGAGAATTGAGGGCGCTTGGGGCTGCTGTTGTTGTTGCTGATCTTGATTATGCAGCTGCTGCTGCTGCTGCTGCGTATGCGTATGCGTATGCGTATGCTGCTGCTGCTGCTGCGTATGCTGCTGCGTATGCTGAAAATGATGGTGATGATATCGCTGGTGTTGCTGCGTCTCTGAATGTACCTGCTGCTTCCACTCATTTAGTTGGAGCTGTGGCTGATGGTCCTGCTGACATGCCTGCTGCTCTTGCTCCCACTGGAGACGCGGAAGCTTTTGGGGATCCATGCAGTTATTGCCCTGGCTCTGCTGATTCCCATCCGTTGAGGCTGTTGGATCAAGAAGCATGGGCAGTGCCTGTTCTGCTTGACTGTGCGTAGTGTCGGCGACTTCAAGGAACGAAGGTTGGGGAGCGTTTGGCGCTTCACAAGCCAAGTGGGAGCAAGCGGGATTCAGCGGCAGAGAGTAAGGGGATGGTTGAGGCGGCATGGTACTACATGTCGGTTGACACGATACAGAAACCCTATCAGAAGGCAAGTATGGAGCGTTGAAAGGCGGTAGTTGAGAAGCTGGTGAAGGGGCCGGTTCGATCCTGGGACCGGTGGCGAGGGGGGTGGTGGTGGCTCCATGGGGAACAGGAGCAGCAGGCAGATGACTCGAAGGATGAGTGAAGGATAGCGCAGGAGGAGAAAGTTCTGCAGGAGCAGGAACACAGGTTGTAGCGGCAGCAGGAGCACAGGCTGTAGCGGTAGGCGGAGCACAGGTGCAGGTTGTAGCAGACACGCAAGCTGCAGCCGGCACTGCAGTACCCAAAGTCCATGCAGCGGACGTGCAGGCTGTAGCAGGAGGCGACGCGCAACCAGGGGTCCAGGTCGCACCAGCAGGGCCAGGTGTAACCGGAGCGAGTGCCGTAGCAGACGTGCAGGGTGCAGCAGGAGGCGCTGCAGAAACAGGGATCCAGGTTGTAGCAGCAGCAGGAGCAGGAGTAACCGGAACGAGGGTTGTAGCGGAAGCGCAAGCCACGACAGGCAATGCAGAGCCCAGAGTGCCCACTGTTGCAGCAGGACCCGATGTAACCGGACTGAGGGTTGTAGCGGTAGTGCAGGTGGCAGCAGCAGGGGAGGGGGAAGAGTAGCAAAGGTAGCGGGTTGTAGAAGCATCGGGAAGTGGCGGTGGGTGGTTGTGTGAGCCGTGGTATACTGTCCTCACCACCACACGCATCTCAGTCCTTGGGATCTCCACACTGCCATTCACCTCCTCATCTTTCAACCCTCCCACTGCAGCTTTAGCCCCCGTAGCAGCTGGAGCCCCCGCTGTGGAATTCAACGCTCTGGTAGCAAGACCGCCTCTGAATGTGGCCTTTGAGTCGGTCCCCCCGCCTTGATGCCTCAGCGAGGCGGCTACGCCTTGATGCCTCGGCCCGGCGAGGCTGGTTGAGCGGCGGTGCCTGGCCTCTCCAGCCACGCGGTCTTCAATCTTCTTCGCCGGGCAGCCTGTCGCTTGCTTGGACGCGCACACAAAGTACAGCCTGCAGGCATTCAGGGGACAGATAGTAGCGGCATAATATTGATACCAGTATTAGAAAAGTCATGACACCTAGCTCTCCATGCCATGCTGCACACGGAAGGCTGGTCATGAGGCCAAGCAGGCAGAATGTGGGGTTGCTACCACAGCAAAGAACGATACTAGTACCAGATACCATCTAAGATCAGACGCACTGCTAGTAACTCATTGAAATTTCTCCCTCCTCTGGGAAAATGTCAGTGCTGGAAGCATCGCTTTAACACTTAAAAGATCCAGTGTGGAATCCTAATGCACCCAAAAAAAAAATTGAACCTCTCAAAAAGGATTTCATCATTCAGTGTGGCCACATTCAAAAGTGTGCCGCCTGGGAGAACCGCATGGTTTGACCAAATGCGACATTTGGAGAACAGATTCAGCACAGAAGGCGCTAGGTCACCTCTACTAGTGTAGGTGTGAAGGACGACTACTAGTAATGCAGGTGGCTGTACCTTTTCATTTGCTGCCCCACTATGCGCTTGTGAGAAGTCTTTTTCCATTTGAACCACTCATGACGTGGCTGCTGGGGCTGATGGGCCGCCGGTTGCACGAGACAATTCTCCTGGTTCAGGCCCATGATCGCCGGCGGCGTTGAGGTCGGTGTTATCTCCAAATCGGCACAAACTTCTTCTTGTGGAACTTCTGAACTGGATTCTGAACAATGCGGCGTGGACTTGGTTAAATGCTCCACTTGCTGCTGTTGCTGCTGGTGCTGGTGCTGGTGCTGCTGCTGCTGATGCTGGTGCTGCTGGTGCGCATGGAGCATACTAAATTGGGTGGTCAAATGCATGGTGCCTCGGATTGAAGTACTACTACTACTAGTAGTAGTACCAGAGATTTGAGAGAAAAAAAAAATCGAATTCCCAACAATCGAATACCGGACCTG